ATTTTGTCTATATTAACCTTTTTCCAACTCGAAAAGAAGCAAATAGAAAACGGGTACTCAGTTTAAGTTCAGAATGTATTACAACAGACAGCAGATGCAACAAAAGTGAGTCTCGCAACAATTGCAAGTATTAAAATTGCCCTCTGATTGGTCAATACTACTTCAGAAACGCGTTTGTAAAATGCTAGTGGGAACATATATTAAAATTCAATAGTAATTAACCACCAGTAGTTTTTTGTAGGTGATATCAACGACATAATCAATGGACATACGTTTTTTGCCACCAGTATCACGTGACTTTAAAATGGTATTTGTCGGACTATACTAACTGCAATCCCTATAGTTTGAAGTATCTGTTAAAGCAGCGGCTGGTGAGGTGGTGCCACAGTGCCACGGAGCCATGGCGATACCTTATTTTTCATGTGATACTTTGAAACATTTCTGTGAAAAATAAGTTAATGACATATGGCTTCATGTTAGTACTACCGCATCAGCCAGTGCTGATCTATTATAAAAGAAACTTTTTGTCTTTGATAAGACATTTAAATTTTTATGTTATGCTAAGCAATCATTTTTGATTTTTAACCCCCTTCTATTAGCGGTTTCAAACATGTTATATTAAAATTATTTTAAAATTGAATTAAACTGTAATTTTCAAGGTTACTGAAGGTGATATCGTTTCGAAAATATTTTTTTTGAATTCCTTGACCTCAAATTATATAATAAAGTGTATAATCATGCCCAAGTAAATTAATTTTGAAATTGAGGAAATTCCCGTCCGCCATTTTGAAAAAAAAAATCGAAATTGGGAGTCTTGATGGTCGTAGAGCCTGGCTAGTCGGGTCAGATTTCTTAAAATGTGTTTCCTGACAATAATGCCAAATTTCATGCTTGTAACCCAATTTGGCGTTTTCTTCCAAAATTTCGTACGAGGGAACTCCACTATACGTGACTTCCTTTGCTTGAATCAGAAGTAAACCAAGGTAAATTGAAAATTAATTAAAAATCTCACCTTTAGAAAATGCTACCATTTCCTAGATATGATTATTGTCAAAAGTTTGACACGACATTAGTCAAATTTGTAATTTTTGCTTGATAACTCAAATTCGAGTATTCAAACAAATTTACGAAAAAACAGAACAATTTTCTGCCTTTTTTATTTTTTAGGTTTTCAATCCCCCAAGCTTCGACAACGTTAGCAGATTTGGTACCGAAACGTCAGCAAAAAATTCAGAACTCATACCACCGAGCCTAATCAAGTATTATTTTATTAAAATAATAAAACTCGATTCGTTTATAAAAAAGTCGACTCGAGTAATTTATTTTATAAAAATAATCTGATAGGTAAAATTGCTCTAATCAGAGAGCTTGTAGTAATAGACCGATCTCCTCTTACCTGGACTGCGCGCGTCACTTGTAGGCTGCAGGTGAGCGTCCAATGAGAAGCAAGTTTGTGACAGGCTTGCGTCATATTCTTATTCAGGGGCCAGATCAGAATGAATCGTTCCTTCTTTCTTTGTAACATGTAATTTGACAAAGAGCAAACTGATACTTTACATATTACTTGAACTTACCGCAGTTTCGTTTGGGGTTATGTTAGATTATACTTGACATATTCCTTTGCAATTTCATTGAGAGAGGTTGCCGGATGAAACATATTATAAAAATAAAAGTGCAAACGATGTTCATCCACTTTAAAGCTCTTCTTTTGTCTGATTTACGGCGTTGTAAAACACTCGACATTATATCACTTTTTTAATTTTACAATGTTCGATTTGGATTGTCTACATTTGTTCTGCAACAATACAATCTGGCTACACTGCAGCCTACGAGTTGCGCGCGCATGTCATCTTTTATTGCTTCTTAACTTGTATTTTTTACAATTAGGCTCTCTTTTTCTAATCACGCGAGATAGGTCTATTCGTATCAAAATCAAGAAACTTCTGGTATTATTTTCAATTGAGGTGTAAGTCCCAAAAAATGCAAGGTAATATTATAAATCCACCTCAAACATACAGACATTTGTTAGTGATTTTATAGAAATTTTATGATTTTCTTAAATATCAATAAAAGAAAAAGTTTGTAACTTTAGTTGTCAATTTCGAATCAACTTCATCTCTGTTTTGGATAATGGAAAAACTCCAATTAATAAACCCCGAAAGTTTCAAGTCGCTATGACGACTTGAAGTATTTTTCAAGAAGCCTCCTAAGTGATTTTATAAGAATTTTATGATTTTCTTAATCATCAATAAGGAAAAAAGTTTGTAACTTTAGTTGTGGATTTCAATTTAACTTCATTATTGCTAAGGATACTGAAAAAACCCCAATTAATAAATCCTGACAGTTTCAAATCGCTATGATGACTTGAAGTATTTTTCAGGAAGCCTCATGGGTGAATTTATAAGAATTTTACGATTTTCTCAAACATGGATTGGCCAATCCAACTCTTACGTTAAAGACTCAACTCATTTCATCAAAAAGGTCAGTGACATCACTCTACTACCAAACAACATTCTAGTTAGTTTTGATGTCGTCTCATTGTTTACCAAGGTACCAGTGAATCAGGCCTGAGAGTACCTGAAAGATGTTTATCCACTTTTTCCGGAGGAAATCAACAACTTATTTCACCACTGTCTGACGACTACGTACTTCCAATGGCAAAATGAATTCTTTGAGCAGACAGGTGGAGTCGCAATGGAGAGTCCACTCAACCTGGTTATCGCCAACTTCTACATGAAACACTTCGAGCAAATGGCACTGGGAACGGCCATAAAGAAACCTACTTGTTGGTTCCGCTATGTAGATGACACATTTTTTGTTTGGAACCATGGAGAGGTAGAGCTCGAAAACTTTCTTAATCATCTAAACTCAATAAAACCCAGGATACGGAGAAACACGGAAGAGAATACTTCGTCCTTTACCACACCGCCTCTGAAGATGTCTACCGCAGGAGTAGACGAAACGTTAGGTAGAAATACTAATGGGCCACGGCATTATAGCCCGGAAAAAACTTCTTTATTACTAGATTTGACCGGCCGTGAAAGCCTTCATTCTTTATTGGAAACGAATTATTTAGACAATTCTAGAAGCAACGATGTGACATGAAACGGAATCGGTCACCAAAGGCAAAAGTAAAGCTACTTTTTTTTTCTTGCTGCTGATATAAATAGCACAAAAGTCTCGTAAAAAAGACTTAGCAACGTTTCCTTTTTATTAAACCATTTTCTATATAGATTTCCCGAAAAGCACTCGTTGATTTGACAAATCGCGTGATTTAGAATTTGAGGGGTAGGTAATATTCTTCACGGTGCGTGAATATAGAAATGTTAAGAGAATCGTGTTATAAAAAAGACGGTAGCTTTTTGTTCATTTCTATTGCGATCCGGATATATTTTAGGAATAAAATAAATATTTCCTCTTGTCATGTTTACGATAGGGCACGTTTCTCTTTTATGTAAGCGATAACTTATAAGTATAAGGCTCTTAAAAATGTTTCAATTTAATTTTTCTTTTTGATCGAATATTAAGTTGACACAAAAAAAAAAACCCAAACCTTGGTTTGGGTTAACGAACTTCGACAGCTTGCTTATCCCGCGATCTCGACACTTCCTGGGGGTTTCGGATCCAAAGCAAAATACAAAGCACCGTTCTTAGAAGCGCCCAAAAAGGATGATAAATTACCCTTCTGGATCTGGTCTTTTCTTGCGGGGCGCCTGGAAAAGCATATTGAGGAAAATGTCAACTTCTCATGTGCGACGACAATTACGGGGGGTATTATAAATGATGCCCCAAGAAAAAATTAAGAGCCTGGTCCGCGACGAAAAAAAAAATCCGCCCTCTGGAAGAGCGATTTAATTTAAATTCAGCTCGATTTTTCTTTCAGGGTGTGGGGGTGATCTTTTGGGGTTGTCTTGACGGTTTTTGTTTGGCCTCAAAAATTTAAATAATGTTTTTTTTTTTTTTCGTAGCTTCACCAAGCCCAATTATTATCGGCCGAGTCAAGGGAATTAACTTATTTCGCCATATATAAAATGTTCGTGATTGGCGTTGCATCCTAATATAATCGCGACTCCTGGGTATAATGTATTTATTATCTTTGGTTTGGCGTGCTGAAATTTATAATACGTCCGTAATTTTGTCAATTATCTCTCGAATGTGACGTTAATTGGGCGGAAAATGGCAGTCGTTAAATCTCTATGTAAATGTGCATTGTTTTTAAGGTATCTGGGGCATCCTTGATCTTTTTTTTACATAAACTTGGTTCTTGTTTGACGATGACGATGAAAAGTACATTGTCTACTGATCTAGACCATTCAAGGATGGTTCTGAGAACTCTAAATGGTTCTGAAGTGTTTTAAAATATTTTTAAAAATTAAAATTCAGTTCAAATAGGCATAAAAACAATTGTAAATTTTCTGAAACTTATCAAAGTTCTAAGTTGATTCTAAAGTGTTCTGGAGTGACGTGGAAGGCCCTTAAATGTTCTAAATTGGCACAGTCGAGTCGTCTTGTGAAGCATTCTAAAATATTTCCTTGAGTTCTAAATTAGTTCAGCAGAATGCTTCCGGAATGTCCAAAAAGTATCAGAAACATGTTTCGGAAATTTTTGTTAGTTTCAGAATTCAAATATAAACCTAATTTGTGTATGTTGCCTGAAACTTTCTTGAGTTGAGAGCAAAGATGATATTTATTATTAAAAGTTTTTTTTAATAAAATTCACAATTTTCTTCCCGGATGAATTTAATGCGATACTTATCGTTAAATAAAATGACATATTGACTTCCACATTCAAAAAAGAAGTGCTAAAATGAAGGTCCCCAACATCTCATAATAAATTTTTCCGCTGCTACATAAAACCCGACATTTCACCTACCATATATGGAAAAATTTATGGAATTATTTATTTCTAGTCTCGGGGTTTTATAACGACATAAAATCCGGACGAGGAAGCGTTGAAAAAATAAAATAATAAGTGTAAAAACCTTCAATTAGGTACTTACAATTTATTAATGGAATACGGCAGGTCGGGAATTTCGGTGAATCCCGCTCCGTGGCACTGGAACTCGTGCAAATCGGGGGTGCAACGGCACTTGTCCTGACCAAAAACCGGACAGGGTGTTAAAGTTTCTTCTGTAAAACCGATTGCACCCCCACAAGGACCCAGCAGGAGGATCAGGAACAATACTGGCAGTGTGGCAATTGTGTCTGGAATAAAATAAGAATTATTTTTACTATAATTCCGTATATTGCCCACACCTCAATAGTTTAGTAAATTAACTTCAATTGAAACGAAAATTAATGTTCCAAGTTAAAAGGTAGTCATATTATATAAGACAGATAAGGCCGTTAGTTATAAATACAAAAAAACCAGTGCACATGTAATCATTTAAATAAATTGACAAGTGGATTAGGTTTCGCATTAAGTTTTATTAATATTATGGCCGATAAATATTCATAAAGTTGTAAAGCATTTTAGGAAGCTGATAGATTAAATATTAATGAAATTCACTCGACTATTTCAAGTTAATTGTGTCGTGTTAGCACGAAAAATCTAGTTGATTAATATTCGTAGATCGAATCTTTGTTTTTTTTTTGTGCAATACACGTTCGTTCGTGTTGACGCCCACGTTCTGTGCAGAAAATGATAAAATTTTATTGTGGTATTAATTTCAGTACAAATGGTACATGGAAAGAGTGACAGGGTTGCCAATTAGCTCCGATAAAAGTGGAGAGGGAGTAGGGTGATAATTTCATTACGGACTTGAAGGCGATATAAAACGCAACCCTTATAGCTCAGAAAGTTTAAAAAAACGTCTTAAAAACGTGTTCGATCGGATGTCAGTCAGAACGTTTCAAAAATGTCAGTTCAAGTAACAACTGACAACGTCCTTTAGTGCAAATATCACAACTTCGAACGTCATAGACGTAATTTTTGAGTATTAATCAGTTCCCCTAAAACCGTCTAGATGTCTTCTAGAAAAAAAAAACCAAATCAATGACTCATGATCAGTATCAGAGCATGTAGATCATGAAAATCCAAGAGGATTTGAACAGAAGAACCTGGAAAGAGTTGAGGATTCTCGATCCAAAAAAACAATAGGAGGGAAATTTGCATAGCCTTTCTTTAAACTCTTTCCAACTTTTTTTGATTTCCTTGAAAATTTCTCAGATTTTTCTCAGGACTTTCTCAATACTTCCTTTCTTTGTTTTCATTTGAGCCTCCTCGGATCTTCACAAACATCTCAATTCTTTTGACTTGAAGTAAACACTTTCAGAAACTCATTATCTGTAGATCTCGAGAATCCAAGTGAATTTGAAGAAAAGAGCCTGGAAACAGTTGAAGATTGTGGATCCGGATTTTTGAAATCCCAACAGTCTTTTGAGAAAAATGCCAATAACTCTGACTCAGAACTCAAAAATCCTAGATTTCTCCAAAAAAAAAAAAACAATAGGAGAAAAATTTACATGATCATTCTTTGAACTCTTTCCAACTTCGTTTAATTTCCTTGAAAATTCCTTAACTTTTTCTTAAGACTTTCTCAATACCTCCTTTTTTGCTTTCCATTTGAGCTTTCTTCGATCTTCACAAATATTTTCTCAATTCTTTTGACTTGAAGTAAACATTTCCAAAAAAATTTGGAACTTTGTAAAGTGATAAATCAGAATTCAAGTTCCTAAATCCTTTTAGAAGTCTTCTAGAAAAAAATCCAAATCAATTACGTATAATCTGTAGATCTTAAGAATCCAATAGGATTTGAAGAGAAGATCCTGGAAAGAGTTGAAGATTCTGGATTCGGATTTTTGAAATCTTAACAGTCTTTTGAGAAAAATGCCAATAACTCTGACTCAGAACTCAAAAATCCTAGATTTCTCCAAAAAAAAAAACAATAGGAGTGAAATTTGCATGGTTTTTCTTCGAACTCTTTCCAACTTTTTTTGATTTGCTTGAAAATTCCTTAGATTTTTCTCAATACTTCCTTTCTCTCTTTCCATTCGAACCTCCTTGGATCTTCACAAACATCTCAATTCTTTTGACTTGAAATAAACACTTTCAGAAAAACTTGGAAACTTGTAGTTATAAATCAGAATTCAAGACTTAAAACTTTCTAGAAAAAAATCCAAATCAATGACCAAGAGGATTTGAAGTGAAGAACCTGAAAAGAATTGAAGATTTTAGATTCGGATTTTTAAAATCCCGACAGTCTTTTGACAAAAATGTTAATAACTCTGACTCAGAACTCAAAAATCCTAGATTTCTCCAAAAAAACAATAGAAGCAAAATTTGCATGGTCTTTCCTTGAGCTCTTTCCAAGTTTTTTTGATTTCCTTGAAAATTCCTTAGATTTTTCTCAGGATCTTCTCAATATATCCTTTTTCTCTTGCCATTTGAGCCTCTTTGGATCTTCACAAACATCCTCTCAATTCTTTTGACTTGAGGTGAACACTTCCAAAAAAATTTGAAAATTTGTAAAGTTATAAACCAGAATTCAAGACCTAGAACCTACAAGAAGTCTTCTTAACAAAAATCCAAATCAATGACTCATGATCTGTAGATCTTGAAAATCCAAGTGGATTTTTAAAGAGAAGAGCCTGGAAACAGTTGAAGATTGTGGGTGCGGATTTTTGAAATCCCAACAGTCTTTTGAGAAAAATGCCAATAACTCTGACTCAGAACTCAAAAATCCTAGATTTCACCAAAAAAAAAGGAGTGAAAATTGCATGGTTTTTCTTTGAACTCTTTCCAATTTCCTTGAAAATTCCTTAAATTTTCCTCAATATTTCCTTTCTCTCTTTCCATTCGAACCTCCTTGGATCACAAATATTCTCTCAATTCTTTTGACTTGAAGTAAACACTTTCAGAAAACCTTGGAAATTTGTAAAGTTATAAATCAGAATTCAAGACTTAAAACCTTCAGGAAAAAAATCCAAATCAATGACTCATAATTTGTAGATCTTGAGAATTCTAGAGGATTTGAGGTGAAGAACCTGGAAACAGTTGAAAATTTTGGATTCGGATTTTTAAAATCCCGACAGTCTTTTGACAAAAATGCTAATAACTCTGACTCAGAACTCAAAAATATTAGATTTATTCAGAAAAACAATAGGAGGGAAATTTGCATGGTCTTTCTTCGAACTCTTTCCAGCTTCCTTTGATTTCCTTGAAAATTCCTTAGATTTTTCTCAATACTTCTTTTCTTTCTTTCCATTCGAACCTCCTTGAATCTTCACAAACATCTCAATTCTTTTGACTTGAAGTAAACACTTTCAGAAAAACTTGAAAATTTGTAAAAATATAAATCAGAATTCAAAACCTAAAACCTTCTAGAAAAAAAACCAAATCAATGACTCATGATTTGTAGGTGGGAAATTTGCATGGTCTTGCTTTCAACTCTTTCCAACTTCCTTTGATTTCCTAGGAAATTCTTTAGATTTTGCTCAGGACTTTCTCAATTCTTCCTCTTTCTCTTTCCATTTGAGCCTTCTTGGATCTTCACCACTCAATTCTTTTAACATGAAGGTAAACATTTCCAGAAAAAGCTAGAAATTGGTAAAGTTATAAATCAGAATTCAGGACCCCAAAATCTTCTAGAAAAAATTGCACATTAATGACTGTCCATTTGTAGATCTTGATAATCCAGGAGGATTTGAAGAAAAGAATCAGCAAAGAATTGAAGATTCTGGATTCAGATTTCTAAGATTCCATCAGTCTTTTGAGAAACATGTGAACCAATTTGCAAAATAGTAATTCTGAACATAGGATTTCCAGATCCTATAAGAGCTTTAACAGGATTTTTCTGAATCATAACCGGTTCTCAATTGCTTTAAGAAAAATCATCCAGCGAATCAGGAGGAAAAAATGTTGAAAATTTAGGATTATTTTGGGTTCTCGATTAAGTTAAGAGAATACTTCTAACGAATCAAGAGCCTGGAATAATCAAAATTTGCTCTAGTACCGGCTCTTGATTGCCTGGTCCAACAAATCAAATTTTGACCTCTAATTTCCTTCAGAACAGTCTAACAAGAATCAATAAGTAATCAAAATTTGGGATATTCGGCTCTTGGTTGCCTCTAGAAAAATCATCCAGCGAATCAGGAGGGGTTCTCGAAAAAATATTTCTAACAAATTAAGACCGTGTAAAAATTTGAACTTTTGTTACTCTCTTGATTCGTTAATTCAAAAAAGAAATCAAGAGCCGGTAATAATCACAATTTGGACTTTCATCGCTGTAGAAAACTCAGTTTGACTGGAAAAATAATAGAATAAAAACCCAAATAAAATAAGTTTTCTTTTTGGACATATTTGAAGAGAAAATTCTGATTCGAGTTTTTTTTCCCATGTTGATACATGAAGAAAATTGAAAAAAATCCCCTAAAGTCACTCTTAAAAATATATTTCTAACCATAAAAGTAATTTAAAACTTTGTAGCTTTATAATATGGGTTCTCTTTCATAACGAAAAATGAATCGGAAGTGGAATTGCGACCCGGAAATGAAATTGAGAGGTTTTTACAATGTTGATACCTGACGAAAATTGAATAAAAAACCTAGATATCGCATTTGAAAAATATGTTCACAGTATCACAATAAATGACTTGAAACTTTCATGATTCATAAGGAAGAATCTTTTTTAATAGAAAAAAAAATGGAGGTAAATTTATTATCTGGAAATATAGTTATGAAGATTTCTTCAAGTTGATGCCTTCTAATAAGAAAAAAACAGTGACGTTATGTAAAATGATTCTGGATTGTACATCAATGATCACTTTCCAGGCAGCACACACAGGTCTGCATTACGTCTGAAGAAAAAGACGTCTAGAAGACGTTTTTTTTGGGATGTCCAAAATTCACATCCTAAAGACAACTATCTGGTACTTTTTGGTATTTTTCTTAGGTAGAGCGAACTAAAATAAAGCAAAAATTCCTCCTGGCATTTTCTCGTTTGAGGCCTCGTTAGCCCGGAAAAAATTCCAGAAGAAAATTCCAAAATAAATAGGGAAATTTTCCAGCCCGACATGGCCCTGTTAACTCGGCCATAACTCTGGAATGCCTAGACCGATTTTAATGAATCATGTCTTATTCGATAAAGGATACTGATAGTTATCCCGTTTAGCCTCATCCACCTTCAAAGTTGAAACTTTTTACGAAATATGTTTGTATGACATGCCTTCACATTTTAAATACCTATTTACTCAAAAACTCCTTGA